ATTTATTTATTTATTTTTTTACAATTCTGGACCAGGTGGGTTTTATTTAAAGAGGGCTTCTCTGCGCTGTTATTTTACTACTTATTATATATACACTACTTAGGCATATTAGGCTATATTATTTTTACTAAGGAATCCAGGTGTCCATTAACGACAGGTTCAAACTAGCTAAAGTATGCTATTGAGCAGCCCCCCTCTTCATTTTTGACCCGACAGTGTACAGTATGTGAACGGACGTGTCAACGGAGACCTGAAGCAATTTATCACTCGAATGATTTTACGAGTAGAGAAAAGTGTTGTAGGAAAAGTGCCCGGACTTGACGGGAAGGTGACAGAGGCTGGTGAGTTTTCCCGAGGGTCCTCCATTAACTACCTCGAGCACACCTGGCTGCTTGCCCACACGCAGTTACTGTATCCTACGTCGCTGTGCAGCCTTATGGCGAGAGAGAGACTTGGTGCTTTGCCTACACGGTGCTTTTATTAGCCTCAGAAAATCCCTAAAAACTTTCCCTTAAGTCGCCATTATCGTGTTTTAACAGAAAAATATAGACACCTGCTTGAAAAGCCGATTCAAATGCCCAATAGTTGGCATTTAGCCACAGCTAAATATAGCGGTGGCGTATGAATATTTATAATTACCGCAGGTGTGTTTAATAGGGACGGCGTCACGACTTGCAGCAGCCAATCAGAAAGCAGGATGTCTGCTCCATCAGAGGCACGTTTTGCCTGGCTCGGTCTCATTTAAAGTGATTAGGCGTTGTACAGTAACGTTCACAGTAAGCAGGCGTTCCTGGCCATACTGTAGATCACGACTGATTAAATACATCTTTACTGCATTCAAGCCTAATTAAATCATTTGCACTTTGTCCTGCAGGACTGCTTTTTTTTTTTTTTTTTTTTATAATTTCTCCAGGTGAGGGTGAGTCCTATTTAAGTGCAAGTTAATGAAGGAAGGAAGTGTCTAATTAGCTTTAAACTGCGAATTGCGTAATTGAGTTTGGAGCCCCAATTTTTTGCTTGGGTGACTCAGTGGTTAATAATCTAATAGCTTAGTGAGAAGTGCTCCATAACACACATGGCCGGGCTGCTTGAGCCTAATGTGTGGGAATAACTTGAGGTGAAATATCGATTGATGGTCTGTGGAGACGTATGTGGGCCAAACTACGGATGATTCACAAGGGGAAGTTTTTGTGTGCTGCTGTACTCCCCTGCCTCCCCCCAGCAGTGTATTATTAGCTATATAATTATCTTTACAAAGACAGACATCTCCCTCTTCTCTCCAGCTTTAAAAAGGCCCAGTGGCTCAATCCCCATAATGAACCGAGCACAGCTCATTCCTGATCCCTGTTGACCCCCATTGAACAAAACGCAGGGACACAAATGTGT